TCTGTGATCTCATTGGGATTTTTCAAGGGAGGCCTGGGCCTGAAGGCAGCCTAAACATTAAGGTTTTTATAATTGTTCCTCCAGAAATTTAAAGTTATTTTGTTTACAAAAATAAATAAATAAATAAATTCTTGATTTAGGCTTTGTTGTGAAATATAAGCTATTATCTACAATTATTAAGTAAAATTGACTTTTACAAACCTTATTATGCTATGCAGGGGAAGGTTAATAAGGGTTCAGGAAAAGGAGGAGAGAATCAACATAAAAAATAGGAAGTGGAAAACGGCAGAAAAGGTGCTGATTGTGGGGTGCAGTGAAATTTGGGGGTAGGGTTGATATTTTGCTCTTTCCCATCAAATCCTGGCTGAAACAAAAGGCCTCACTTAAGAGCCAGGGACCAGAAGATGTGATAAGGTAATGATAATGTAATGAGGACCAATCATGMGCCTGAACTAAGAGCAGGGCCTCTTAATTTGTCTTCAGTGCAGTAGTTCAGTGTCATAATGATAGCTTTGAATTAGAGTGATGATGTGACACATGCAAAATAAATTAATCTTTTAGCTCTAAATAAAAGAGAAATAATAAATCTAAATTTCTTGAAAAAAAAAAGGTCATAAAAAGTGCCACATTAAATATACATACAGTATTTGTTAGCAGATCTTAGCCATATTTGAACTGTATTAAAAGCTTTTATTTTAATAAACAAAATGACTTGGTTAAAAAAATAGAATGAAAAAAAAAGAAAAAAGAAAATGACAATATCGAACTCTACATTGTTTTTGCATCAGAGCTATAGTAGAACAAACTGCTTGCTTCTACAACCCCTTTTCCCTTGTTAGCAAATAGAAATAAAGATATTTATTTTATCTTGTTTACTGGCTGGCTGATAAGCTCACTGAATATATAAAAATGTGAGTTATAGTTATTGATCAACAGTCAGTGATCCCTCATGGCATTTGTGAAAATGAATAGTTTTCTCCCTCTGTTGCCTTTTGACTTTACACTGCAAAGGCAGTGACAGCAACTGTGTATAATCAATAGTTTCACCTTTTAGTTTGCCACCCAATAACAGCAGAAATTAAACACAGCTGGTAGAATGTTGCTAATGGGTGAGATTTCTTCTTATTATCGCCAATACATTTCTAAAAATATGAATGTGAATGTAAGAAATTTAATCTTAATGAATAAGATTTTTAAAAACTAAATCAGATGCAAAATTAAAGACAGAAACTAACGACATTATTAAAATAAAGTGATGGTACAACCACTGAAGATCTGGTTTTGCAGTATTACTTTGACAACATACCTCAATAGTGAACTGTTTTCTCTTGAGCTTAAAGGCCAAGTCTTTGTGGTCAGGGAGTTGACTCGCCAAACAGTTTAGATGAGGCACCTGGTGTACGTGCAGCAGACCTGCAAAAGGCGCAAATTAAATGTAAAAAAAGTTTAACTGCAATCAAAACATGTCGTGTAGAAGATGTTCCTGCCTTGTGCTACAGTGTATGTTTTCCTACACCAATAGTAAACATTTTGCTATAGATTTGATGAGTACTCTCTCTCTTAAAGAGGTGAAAGAAAATTTCAGAATCTATTTGGCATTTATCATTTAAAAAAACTCTTATGWAGCTTCTTTATGCAGTGAGCTGTAGTATACTGTAATAAACTAAAGACRTGCTTTACCCACACATTTCATACAGAAAGATCTTCGAGAGACATTATTGAAACTGAGAAAAAACCACTTGTAGAAACTAAGTTAACGTAAAAGTGGAAAATTACAACAATTGTTTCAAAAGACAGATTTTAACTTTTCTATTTGGGCATTCTTGCACACTTAGGTTTCCTAAAGCTTAAAATATAATGATAAAATTATATTTTTAACTATTTTTGTGAGAAAACATACAAGAACTTCCTGCAAAAGGACAAAATCTTTCTTTAACTCAACCCTCATTTTATTTCAGCACAGTTCCATCTCCACAAAACTGTATCCGTACTGTAAATGTGGGGCGGTATAAATAAGCGTGACACAGAAAAGAAGAGATCGAGGGAGTAATGGAGAAAAGAAGACAGACACAGAAAGTGGGGGATGGTGGGCTCTCTCCTCTGTGCACTTGGGTGATTTCCCCTTGCCTGATTTGCAGTGACAGGCTTCCCAGCATGCTTTGAGCAGCCCTGAACTGCTGCCGCAAACACGCGGGCACGCGCAGCCGCACGCACGCTCACACTCGCACCAGATGCGTTGGCACTCATCAACACACATCAAAACAATCACACACATAAACGTATTTCATAACCCACCAGAATTTGTACAGCTGGTTAAAACGGGGCAAGTGTATTTATTTTTGAACAGAACTTTCAAACAATATCAACAGCAGAATGCAGTAAAAACATTTTGCAGCATTTAAAAAAAAAAATGATGCATGACTAACTCTATATGCTCTAAGATGTTTAGGGAAACTGCATTCATAATATAAATGAATATAAAAGTCATAAAAATGAAATAAATTTCTGTCATGGAAATTTTTTTGAACACTTCCCTTTATGTGTCACAAATGGTGAGAGAAAATAAAAGGAAAAGCAAAAAGAAAAAAATAGAGTGGGAGAATTTGAGAATCACGGCTAAAAATATCTCTCTGGTTTTTACTGACCTTTATGTGTGGAGAGTGATAGAAAAGAGGAAAGTGAGGAAGAGGAAAAAGAGAATGATAAAACTGTGCAGAAAAAGTGGTGATGAACGGGGGAGCAAGAACAAACTCTGTTGACCTCCCCTTCTGTGTCTTAGTTTCTTTCTCTCCGAACGTCCCTTACCGGTGTCCTGCCTCCCTACTGAAAGCATTGCCCTCCATTTATTAGGAGAGCATGCTGGCCACGGAGACATTGAGCGAGGGATAGAAAGATAGAAGCAGAGAGGAAGAGAGAATGATGGTGAGAATATCGATTCCCTAGTGTTGGTCTGCTCTGCTCCAGAGCCTCAGGGGTATGGGACTGGGGATGGAGAGTGGGCGAGGCGAGAGGGAGAGAGCCTCTGCTGGAGGGGGGGTGGAGGCAGGGATGGAGCGGGTGAAGGTGCAAGGGAGAGAGGGTGTGTGTGTGTGGGGGGGTGTACAGCGTGGCAGCTGAATCCCCCCCGGCCTGTCTACTGAGGAGCACGTCTGATTGAGCAGCAGCACACTAACTCACACTGACAGCCTGGCCTGCAAGGGGGCTGCCCTGCCTCCATCCATGGCCCAGCCCCAGCTTTAATGCACTGCCTCTGTGTATTCCTGTGTATCTCTGATGGAAAAGAGATGGAAAGATAAGCGAGTGTGTGTTTTCTTACCGTGGTAGTCTTTGTAGAGTGGGTTAGTCTCTCTCTCTGAGCCTTTGAATGATTCCAGGGCTATGGCATTGTCGCACAGCCTGGTTATGCTGCCCATTAGAGCTCTGTCCTGTAGGATTGAGTGGGATCAAGATTAACGGAGGGAAATAGTGGGGGAGTTGTGGGGGAGTGGGGACACAAGCAGGTAATTAAAAGCCTCCTGACGGGCAATCGGTGTTGCAATTTAATTAGGTCATCATTTCCTGTGGCCAGGTCATATCTGCCCATGGCTTATATGTGAGAAAGATGAGGTACTAGAGTCACACAGGTCGGTCAACGTAAGTCAGGCAAATGGACATACGCATTACATCCATCATGCACCCTAAAAAGAGAATGGGAACATTTAAATGAGCAACATGCTTACATCTTTTAGCTTAAAAGATCTCTGACAGAAAGGCTAATTGCTGGTGCAAGATTTAAAATCTGTGTAATGTAGGACAAGACTGAAACTGCAGCATTACAGGCTTGATGTGGAGAGCTCCCCCTACTGGTGAGGTCTGTGACAAATGAGAAGTGAAAACTAGACTATAAAGAATGGGGGGAGAAATATAGGTAGAAAGTTAAAGGAATACAGGGGATGGGAAGGAGAAAGAGGGACATTGGGACAGAGGGAGAGGGGTGTCCTGCATTATTAATCACTTTCCCTCCTGAATCATTCACGTCCCCCTCTCTGTGTCGGCTGCCACTGCCTAATGCAGTTTTCATGCCTTCATGTCTTTTCCCCACACTTTCTTCGTTCCTTTTCATTTTTGTCCTACTTTTAAAGTATGCATATCCCAGCAGTCAGTACCACAGTCACTGGAAGGAGTATCTTCGGTAACTTGTGTGTTGCAATTACAGCCAATATAAGAGTTTGGATACAACAAATTATTCAAAAACATTAATACCACCGTGCGACCAGAGGAATCTACATGAGAAAAATGCCAACTAAACATATTCTGTACTGCTCTGTGAAGGCTATAATGACTCTTTATTACATACTTAAATAAAGAGATGTGGTTTCTTGGCAAAGAGTCAACTCTTTCAAAGTCAAACAGATTCAAATTGTCCACTGCAAGCAGCTCAGTAAACTGGCAGCAGGGCAGAATGAGGTCAGAAAGACATGCACGTAGTCAAAGGCTCTTTTAGAAAAGCTTATCTCAATTATATAGGGTTATATATAAATATTTTTAGCATTTTTTAAATTATTAATAAATGACTTCAAAAGTTATATCTATTCTATGCAATTATTCTTAAATGGTCAAAAAAAAGTCTTGAGCCCCACGCCCCTGCTGGTGGGGGCAAAATTGTTTTTTTTTTTTCTTTTGCTTTCTTTATTAACCAAAGTTCTCATAGGTAAACATAGACATGTGTGGTATCTATAGAAATGTCAGAATCTTGATGGATTTTATAAATACTTTTTTTTTCAGAAACACAGTAGAATCTGTTATTCTCAGGTGAATTTAGTTTGAAACCACCAACAAATTTTGTCCAAGCCAATAGAATAATTCAGCATTAAGTAACGAGATAAGTAACCAAAGAAGTGGGGGGGGGGGGGGGACCCTCAACGTTACAACTCAAAACAAAAATGCATCTTCTGTTGGAAAAAAAAAGGCAAAGTGCTGATGTGACTCAGCTTGAGCCTGGACCTAAAAATCGAAGGGTAAAGATCTGAAAATGCATGTGAACTTAAACCACCCCCTGTTCAGTTATGTTTAATTTTAAATGATTCTGYCAAGATGAGAGAAATCTTCAGAACGAAAGAAGTGAAAGGTTTGTAGAATCATTCCCAAGATTTTCAGTCTCTGCTGACCAAGGTGCTTTACTGGTTATAAGTGAAAGGTCTGAACAGTTGCATAGTTGAGAAATATCAGTCATTAAGAAAAAAAAAAACCTGCACATTTTTTTGTTTGTTGTGTGGACACCCWTTTCTTTTATTTCCCGACATTACGAACACCCATAATATTCTATAGGCTATTGTGAGTGTCCACACAACAATAAGAAAGAAAAGCATTTAGTTTAAGAAAAGTGTGGAGAAAAATGTTGAAAACTTGAAAGCATCAGAAGATTTTGGTCTGTACTGTATTTAGAAGCATTTTTAGAAGAACTGTATTTCAAGTTTGTGTATAAACTGGGTGTGGTTTCAGGACATAGTATGRAGAAGGAGAACCAAGCTAGGGCATGCCTAATTAATGTTTCAGATGGGCTGTGGCACTAGGCTACTGTGGGGAGGCTTTCAGTGAGTTGCTCAGCTTCCTAAGCTGCTCAATAATGGATCAAGTATTGTAGACTAGTAGCTGTGGGCTAGCTGGCCATGGCTGCACTATTTCAGCCAGCTAAACCACAGCAACCAGTCTAGACAATCTTCCAAAGGCCATACTCTCATAACCAAACTATCTTTAATGTGCAACGGCAGAAATATGCTCTGTCAAAATGTCAGTTGTTAAAATATTAAAAGGTAAAATTATTATCAAGTTGAGATGAGCAAACTTCACATATTGGTGATCCTAGTCGATCAATCAAAATACTTTAATGTAATAACATCAAGTTAGATTCACATTGGTGGGCTAATCATAAGGTCGTAACATAACAGCCGCTAATTACCTCCATGTTGGCTTCATCACCAAACACCTGATTCAGTCCAAAATTTCCCCCCTCTCCTTTTTCTCATCTCATTCACTTCTCTCCCCAGGGTGGAGAAGGGGGTAGGGGAGTGGGGACAGATTAAGGGTTGGGAAGCCTGACCAGAGTGGGACAGGGGGACCGCTCCCACCACAGCTGACATCTGCTAGTTAGCCACTCTACCTTTTTTTGACTAGGCCAAGCCGCCGCGCACTGTGCGCATAGGCCTGGAGCCAGAGCGTGTTGTGACAACACAGCTGTTCTCCAAGTTAAGCACTGACCTATATCTTTAAATAAAGGGATAACAAATAAAACAGTGACAATGCTCTTGTAAATGAGTACTCTGAGTGGTTATAGAGTGGCCAGGTTAGTTCAGTATAAAGATGGCTTTTGTGGTGAGAGTGCCTCGATGGCTGACTGTCTGGGGGAGGGCTGTGGGCTGCCATATGCCTCAGCAGATGACTCCACCTTCACACTGAGAGGCCAGACTGGACACAGACACACGGACTCATAGTCCAATCTACCCCACCCACAAACTATAAGAAGCAGTTTTTATAATTATGTCTTTAAATGGCTTAGCTATAGACCTTGTAGAAACTTCTAAATATCTTTCGGTATTGTCATTGATCAAAAGTTCTCCTTCAAATGTCACAATGTCCACATTTTGAACAAACTGAAGCTAAAACTAAGATTTTTCTTTAGAAATACTTCATGTTTCCCTCTCGAGGCTCGCAAACATCTTGTGTGGCCAGCTCTCTGCATCTGTTGGATGTWGCTTATTATGGAGAACTCTGATTTATAATAAACTGTAAACCYGTCACACATCCCTGTACTCACTGGTAAACTGGCCATCATTATCTACCTTCTATACTGACTTTTATATTGGTATACCTTTATTTACAAACCTGTCCTGGGTTTGCTGCTTCCCTATAYGTTACAAGATGTAACAAAGACAGTACAGTCATAGCCACCTTCGTTCCCAGGATTTTATTTCTTTCAGTGTTCCCTTAGTTTGCACAGAACTTAGAAAATAGGTCTTCTCCTATGATGCTCCAACTTTCTGAAATTCACTGCAGAAAGAACTGAAACTGTCCAGTTAAACGTCAACTTAGTGTTTTATGATTTTTATATAATTCATGTTATTTGTTTGTGTTACAGATCTCTCTTGTAAATACCTGTCTGAATGAGATTACCTGTCTAAATAAAATTAAATAAATWAAAAAMTAACAGTAAAATKTCATTAGCACAAACACATAGTACAGCCTCAAGTGACTAAAATAKGACATATTTAGATGCCCCTGAATGAAAAGTCCACTTAATGGGGTTGGTTGGGGAGGGATATAAAAAGCGAAATACCTGAATCATGACAGGGTAACAAAAACATAAGCCTATTGGCCAAATATCAACCAGTGCACACAGATATTTTGAAATGAAATTCTGAATTGTTCTGGTGAAAACTACAAGATGATGGTTTGGGACGCTGTTATATATTTTTTCAAGAGCAAAAAACGTTGTCTATAAACTCTCACAAGCTGTCTACATATGTGTCAAACACAAGCTTACCTGAATGAGATGCGAAGGTAAAGTAACCACAGCAACTGATAGTGATGACCTCATTAAGGCACGCAGTCCATAGAGAAAAGTAGTAAGGGCGTGGCGGTGTTTAGGGTTGTCATGGCAACTCAGGTCATCACCCCACAAAGATGAGCCAAGAGCGTGAAGGCCAACACGCAAGATGTTACGTGACTTTGACTGTGAGACGCAGAAAGAGGAGAAAACATTTGTAAACGAATCAAAGCCATGAGAACACACGGAATATGCACTAGTGTTGAATTAACAAAGAATGGCATAATTCTCAGTATGTTCCCAAAACTGCTTTAAAACAACTTCAAAAGCATGTTCCTGTTTTAGGTCGTATTCCTAAACTATGAGTGAGAGCAACTGGACAGTCTGCTTAGCAGCACAGACGATTGGTTCCCAAACGTGACTGGACACAACTGCCCAATCACAGAAGCCATCTGACACATGCACAATGGACCTGTCAGACAGGCTTCCAATATGGCCGCCACCCAGAAACCCCAGCACATTCTTGGCACAACAGCTCTGTGCTGCAGCCAAGGGGGCCTGGGTAAGGGTGGAGTGCCTTGCCTTGAAACCCCGTTACTCCACCACAAGGGATGAACTGTAACCAACTCTGCTGAGGACAGACAAAAAGTGTCCAAACAGTGGTGGGATATATATCACAGAACCTGAGATAATGGAGGTGTTGTCCAAACTGTGAGAGGTTTCTAGCCTTTAGTACAATTGCCTTTCATTTGGAGTTTCTTTAGGATGGTTCTTGATTACTGAAGAGAAAGCCAAGAACGATCAACAAAACCCTGGTTTAAAATCTGCTCACTTTTCGTGTGTGTCCAACCTTTTGTCTTCTTTAGACCTCCCCTCCTATTAGTGCAACTCTCTACAAAATCTCTTTAGCTCCACTCAGAATTGCTTCCTTGCTTAGCTTTATGACCTAAGCTTCATTTGGATGCAGAGCATTATCAAAGGGATCTAAGAAAAATAAACGCCATTGTTTCATGGCAGTTTCCCGAAGGACTTTCAAACTGCACTTTCCGTGATATATCATCAGCGTTATATCTCTATACATCCATTTACTGGAGTGTTTGGATTATGTATATATAAAGCATAGTCACAACAGGTCATGTCTTTTATTTGTTCAGCAGTTTTCTTTTCCCAGCACAGGTTTCAAGAGCGGCAGAATTAAAAATCTATTTATGTGTCTGAAACCCAGCAGTAGGTAACTGCAGTAACATGACTGTTGCTGTAGCAATATCAGAATGGGAGGCCAAACTTAACCCCTTTTGTTTAGCCTATAGAAAAATCAAGGAACGGAGCCAGTAGAGTCTAGCCATGAACCAAAGGCCAGACATGCAGACTAAAACAAGTCTAGGATCATAAACCAATCAGATGATTTCTGATGTTTCTCACTGCTGTTACAGCCATCTGAGAGTCTCCAAAACCTACACTAAAGACAAGACACATCTTTGTTCCAAATTAATTTCTTACAAAACACTTTTAATTTTTTGTTTGCATAATGTTATTAGTTCACAAAAGCTGAAAAATAAACCAGTGCATCCATATTGGGCCGTTTTGTGCCAGCGCCCATGTGGCTCTGTGCTGGTCTGCATTCCTGGACTGTGCCAACAGCATGTCAGGTGGTCACACTGCTTTAATGATGTCAGCAGTTAATCTGGTGTTTGAGTGACAGCTCTCAGGAGGGGAGGTGGGGGGTAGAGGAGGTAAATCTCATGTGTGAGTGACAGGGGGAGAGGTGGCTCCAGGTGACAAGCAGAGCGGTCACAGAAAGTAGGTGAATAAGTCACACAGACATGTAACCGTGCAGTCACAAAGAGACTTTTTTGAGCTGCTGCGACAAAACAGAAAAAATATATTTAAGGATGTGGGGAATTTAAAGTGTGAGGAGGCCGCATCTAACATATTGCATATGGACATGGGTATTATTGATTTAGGCATTCTATAAAGGACATATGCAGATATACAGCATGTCAGACACACACAGGCCATGCTGAGAAGATGAAGTTGGGGTTTCGAGGTAAGTGGTTAAAATGTGAAAAATACATAAATGTACATTTAGCTTTTTTTATAATCTGGCTTGCCTTTTAAGAATTGCTTTTACAATATGCATAATATTTTAATAACAATGATAATTTACTCAAACCAGATCTATAGCCTTAATTGGGTTTTTCACCAGAAAAAAAATCTTGTGAAACTGCTTTTTGTGCTTTTTATCAATACATACATTTTGCATGGATTTATTAAATTACTAATTTAAAAAAACAATTGTTGCTAAAGCTTGAATGCTATTTATTTTTTCAAATAATTACCAATCTGAAAAGGGTTGTTGCTTATTATTAGGAGCAGAAAAATATATATACCAAATGAAGAAAAAAAAAACATTTATTTAGTTCTTCTTACCATGGGGGCTGCCAAATTAAAGCCCTCTCTGTGTATGACCTCCTGAAGTGACTTCAGTAAGGCAGCGTAAGACTCAAGCATGGGACTGGAGAGACAGACAAGGACACAGTGAAAAAAAAAAGACATCAGGAAGAGACTCAAAATGTTTACCTAAGATGTATACACCATCACTGGAGCATTAAAACACTGGACCTAGCTCATCACTGCTACAACCTAATTCTCAACGACTGTAGTAAGCTCCTCCTGACTGTGCTATTCTGAAGCCACTGAAGCAGACAGAAAAAATATATCAAGAGATCTAATTAATTTATTTGGTTGATTAAATTACAACATGACTGGTTCTCTGTCAGCTCTCTGAGGATCTGATTGTGCCGAGACAGACAGACAGATGAGACGCACACATGCACAAACGTATACACAATGCAGACGAGAGGTGGGATTAATGGGCTGATTTCTAAAATGAACAGAGAACAGCATTTTGGTGTTTAATCAAGAGTAAGATGTGCTCCACTGACAAGGGGCATACAGTACCATGAGAGCAACATTTAGCAACAGTCAAGGTGATGGATGACTGCTGAGTCTCTGCACCCCCTGTGAACTTAGAGGATGGCCAATAATAATGTTAACCCCATCTTTTTACACAGAAACCTCCACTTAAGAATGCCTCACCATTGTAATGACCACTCTGTAGTGATTCTCAGTGGGCTGCTATGTCAGCTGTCAATTCAACCTGCAAGCTACAAAAGCTGATACACATAGGTTGGTCACACGCCAATTGCCCTGCATAAAGAACAGAAATACACCCTTGTGTTGATTACACTTGGCCAAGTATATCAATGAACTCCATTTCAGTTATTCAGCACAACAATGGTGCCTCCTGACCCTGCTGTGGCTAATGATAGATCTGGATTGGTGAAAGAGGGACACCTACCCTTTACGGCCTCTCTGCCCATGCCCAAGGTCTGAGCTGGGGGGGGAGGATGGTGTGACAGGAGGTTGCCTCTGGTTGGCAGCCATTGTGTAGGATAGCATTGTATTTTAACTACCCCTACTGAGCACTGCTCATTCAGGTACCAAAGAGGTCTAGGTGCTTAGCTACGGGGGCTAGAGCGTCCGCTAATTAGGATCATACACGAGTAAACGTCTTTATCTCAGCCCTCCTCTTTCAGCTTGGAAAGAAAGACGGAGGGAAGGGGGATGCTTGGTCTTAAACAACAGGATCTGTATCACCTAGAGAGCAATTTGTGCCAATTATGCCTTCAAGTGAAACGGAGCAATTTAACAGCTAGGGTATCAACATGGGGCAGTGGACACGTGCAAGGGGGTGTAGCCTGCACTGGAGTTTGTGTGTTGCGTGTGTAATGTGCTGAGTGTGTGTACGTGTATTTGTGTCGATAACTGGGCGGGAGTTGGGACACAATGGTGCTGTGCAGGTGTAGTTTCCAGCTGTCAAAACGTCTGTAATATCTGTAACCCATTCACATGTTTCAACAGAACTACTGTATCACTTTCAGTCACCACTGTATAACACAACGCAATGTTTTTGTCTCTATATTTCAGTCATTAAATATCAATATGTTTTATGTAATAGAATATCCATTTTTGTCCACAGCATATGCTGCACTCTTGGAAAAACCTCAAACCGAACACTCGCAGCATTTAATGTGTTTGCACAGGCGTTCTGTTTAACAGTCTCTGTTTGCTGATATAAAGAATGACGGCTCCTCTAAAGCCTCCTCCAACATCCTCTGTGCTCCAGATTGCTGTATTTACCCAGTGCATGTGAGTGTGCCTTCGTGTGCCCTTGTGTGTTCAGCAGCACTCTTTGAGTAAAGAGCCTGCACAACCTCTGAACCCTAAGTACACTCAACGTAGGAGAAATCAAACAGACGCTGAGCAAACAAGACCCTTATTTGAATAGACAACCTTTCTGAGAATCTGAACAACTTAACTAATACATGTAACTTAAAACAGAAATATGTTTTGGGCAATAACACTGTGATTTAGGATTTAAAATATATTTTCAAGTAACAAGTGAATACTTTAAATGTATTCAAGTGAGTGATTGAAGTGAGAAAAATTAACTTTTAAAATGACAAATGAAGTATAACGTGTTTTTTTCAACAATACTAAAATATTTTAAGTTGAATCAATGAATCTCATCACCTTGGGTTGTTTTCTGCATCTAGAGGTAATAAAAACCTTCTATTGAAGCTGAAACAATTGATTGATTAGACTGATGATACACAAAACACTGGTTATTTATATCTAATTTTATAATTTAACATGTTCAGTCAATTTCAAGCAAGCATGATATTAACTCATTTGAGCTTCTAAAATTGAAGAACTAATGATTCACTTCTATTTTGATATTGTAGTTATTTAATCTAATGTTTCAGTTCAAATTGTTTGTCACCAAAGATTTTTATAATTAACAATGAGGCTTTGTTAATGCTTTATACTGATATTATACATACAAAGCAAATTTTCAAAAAAAGCAACACATTATTTAGTTAATAAAGTTGTTTGTTGCAGCTGAAAAAAAGCCTAACACAGCTCAATCTTCCCAGTTTCCACATGCTGTTATTTAGATTATATACATATATAGCATGTATTTTTTAACTTAATACAGCAGGTCTGTCTTTCTGTAAATATTGGTTTACATAGATATTCAGAACACACTGTTATGTTTACTTACATGTGTTCTGTGAATTAAGTCTTTTTTTATACAACGTTTTGTGAATGATGTCATGCTGGTGTGCCTGTGTTCTCAGGATTTTGTCTCATTGGTTTCTGTGTATTCTGTAGATGATGTCTTGTTGCTCTACCTGTGCATGTTCGATGGTTGGGAGAGATGTTCTGGAAGGCAGAAGCGGTGGCACTTTGTTGCCTGACGAATTTCTGGCTCCATTGTCTTTGAGACATCATAGTAGTGACCAAATCGGGAAGAGGATGCCAGGGCGCTCTGTAAGAGTCAATAAATCAGGATTTTTTTTAGTTAAACATGGGAGTAAAAAATTTATTAATGAAAAATAGAGCTGCATCGAGGATTGGCCTGTGACCTCCACCAACTAATATTCAGACTGACCAGCAATAAGCTGTGATTGGCCAGTCAAAATCAAAAGACCTAGTATTGTTGTTTTTTTTCACATCACAGCAGATTTACAGGCAGCTGCCTCCTGAAATACAGCTCATCTTTCCTTGTTAGAAAAGGTTTTAATGGTTGGAAAAACAAACATGAAGTTAGCATGCCAGAGCTGTACTCATTTTGAAATTCGGTATTGGCTCACAAAACCCAAATCAGTGCACCTCTAATGAAAAAAGTATGTTTTAACGTTGTCACACAATATCGCTTTAAAAAATAGATTTAAACAACTGGTTTGAAGCAGTTCATTTAAAGATAACTTTGTTTTTGTCTCTCTAAGGTGGTAAATGCATGTACTTTTCAACACTATGGTAATGCAATTGCATTGTTTATGGGTCATTCCTCAACATTCCTTCAGCGGAGAAGTTAAATAACCACTACGACCAGGCTCTTAATCATTTCTTCACATAAATGTCCACTTCTGGTTGTGAAAGCAAACATGTCAGGGAAGCAGAGGAAGGCGGATGTTTTCCTGCAGCTGAAAGAGAAAGTTTTAGCTCTTCTTTCTCGATGAAACCAGGGATTCCATTGTTGGAGGGGCCCTTAATCTACTCCTAATCTGGATTAGGGCCCCTGGTGTGTCCCTCTCCCAGCAGAACGAAGGGGTCAGTGAGGCAGGGGGGGGGTCAGGGGCTCATCTTCTCTTTGTGAGATAGGCAACCCGCTTAGCGTTCCATCCCCGCCCTGACGGCCTCACCTTTGATCTGATGTCTTCATCAGCAGAACAACACAGTGGGTCATGCCAGGAGAGGTGTGTGTAAGGGGAAAGTAAGCGCTGACTCTTGTGGTGAATTTGGGATGCAAATCCTTTGGTGGGGCTTACTTGTGGTTTGTAAAGACGATTTTACAGGGGAAGGGGGGAGAGGTGAGGAAAGGACACAGATATAAAGAAGTTTCCAGAGAGAGAGAAAGAGGGAGAGGATCCCCAGGGACACACTGTGTGCTGTTAATCCACATAGCGATATGGATTATAGACCGACGGGGGTAGACTGCAGAGAAGTAGAAGGAGAAGTTCCCCTCTCCTCAAAGCGGAAGAAAGAGTGTAGAGCTGCCGACCCTAGCAGGGGGAAAGGCAGGGATTTAGGGGAAGACAGAGGCGCAGGTCTGGGTCATAGGGTTGAGCGAGCAGACACGTCAATGCACAGTATCCTTGTTTCCCAGGCTAAGCAGGGGTGCAAGCGTGTGTGTATGTATGTGTGTATGTGAGTTGGGGACCAGTGAAAAGCCTACCTATTGCCAGCTAAGTGTGAGTAATCTGGTGCAGCTCTTAAAAGAGAGGTTGAGGCCTCATTCACTGCAGAAAGGAGTTTAGAGGCTGATGGGTTTAGTGGTCGAGACAATTGTCAAACCACCAACAGCAGAGATCCAGTACTGAGCATTATCATCCCATCATTAAAACAGACACATGTTCTTAACAAGGGTCATCAAAAATGTGGTTTTATTCTACTATATCAAATGGGGAAAATGGCTAAAGCAAAATTAACATTTGGTATAGATTTTTTTTATAAAAGTGCTTTTTTTCTTTGATTACCTGCACTTTAGGAAGATTCTGATAGCGCCAGGCAATATTCATTGCATCCAAATTGCCTGAGGACTCACAAGGCAACCTGGGCTGTTCCAGAGGTTTGTGAATAACCACATCATCCAAGATGGGAGCTGGGAGTTCCTGAACAAAGAATAAATAAATAAATAAATAAATAAATAAATAAATAAATAAATAAATAAATAAATAAATAAATAAATGCTATTAAAATTATATTAATGTGAACTGCAAAAATAATATCTAAATATTATTTTAGTAAAAGAGTCAAAAGCAGGCAGACGTCGACATTTTGATTTTTTCTTTTGTGGACAAAAAAAGGTCATGTGATAATAGAAACATGAATATATTATTTGTAGTGAAGCAATTAAAAATCAAAACAATGCCATAAATAGACTTAACAGAGTATGCAACAACTTGGGACAGAAGATAAATGGCCAACAACAACGAACAGCAGACAGTTTCAATTAAATTCATGTCCAAGTTAATAAGATGGAATCACTGTCACTCATTCTTTAAAAAGTTTTAAAAAACTCCCTCCATCTTAAAATCAGGTAATACAAACAAAAGAGTGATTTAAGCTAAAACAGTGCAACTTCTCTTGTGTAACTTCTCCACGTTAAGGTGACACAGAAAGACAGTTTTAGCATCTGAAGATAATATTCTGCAAATGTAATTGTGAAAACACTAAAGATCCAATAATTTCCCACTGGGAATCCCCCCCCCTCTCCTAATAAGTCTTTGAAATGCAAAGAGAGGGTGAGGCTATGAATCCTCCGACTATCAATCAGTGGGAGAGAAGCAGCTCCCTCACCCTGCTCCTCTTTACTGGTTGGCAGGCAGCTTCTGGGACTATGGTCCTCTTCAGGGATTGATAGGCCGAGAAACATTTCAACAATGCCACAATCATGCCATCCTCGACCCCTCAGATACCCCCATTGACCCTAACACATGTGAGGAAAGCTGTGTGTTTAACTATACAGTGAAAGCTGATTTTCTTGTGACAAAATCAAAAAACTTAAAAAAATAGCGTTCTACATCTTTTGTCACTAAATAGTACACAAAAGTCTTTCAAAAGTTATTTTCTGATAGAATAAATGTTGACAGTGCTAAAGAAAATGCGCTGAGGCCATTTTGACATCATTGTGATTGGCTTGTCAAGTCATGTAGTTAGTACAGTACACATTCATTGCAGTACAACTGATTTCTTTTCTGATATATCCAAACTGATGGTACCTCTTCACATACCTGTAAAATGTCATCTGGGTTATCTTGTGCCGTTGCCACAAAAAGTTCATGTCGACAAACAACTCCTTCTGCCAGAAAGTACTTCAAGATCATGCGAGAGTAGCTATCATATCGGTCCTCCTCTAAAAAGAAACAACAATCAGATATTTTGCATTAGAAAAAAACTTCAGTGCTTTACTGTTAACATGTGTGTAACATTTACTATAAACATTTACTAGCTATTGACTTCTCTTTGATTAATTTGGACACCTCAGCACATGTCTGGCAGTTCATGGCCACATCAGAGCCGCTGACTATAATTGATGTAAGGGTCACATTCTATCTACCTTTTGCAGGCAACATATGAAGCAGCAATTGACATGGCACATGAACATAGGCATTTCTATGGGATGTGACTATCAAAGTGAAGAGATGACATCTTTCAGCCCTCTTGTTCATCTATTAACAATATTCCTGTCTAGTTTCACCTATCACATTCCCAGTCAGCAGCAGAGGTGGAGACACCTGCCCAAAGCATTTACCCAGGTCTTCCCACAAAGTGGAAAGGTGCCTCAATGATCCGGACAAGTAGAGGCAGAAGGTGGATGTGATAGTGGTACTCAAAATGCTTCCTGACATCTGGCCCATTTGAATCTCTGTACTTTTGTTTGCCTTCTTAAGGACGCCATTCACAACAAGTCTACTTTTTGAAAAGTAAATTGTACTTTTCAACTCTGAAGATGAACTCCTGCTTAAGACTTGATATGACAGAACAATTCTATAGGTAGCATTACGACTCAGTGGCTAGCACTGAAACCTCACAGCAAGAAGGTCCTGGGTTCAATCCCCGGTTCGGACCTGGGGTCTTTCTGCGTGGAGTTTGCATGTTCTCCTCGTGCTTGCATGGGTTTTCTTTGGATACTCCGGTTTCCCCCACAAAATATGTACAATAGGTTGCCTTCAGGCCCAGGCCGCCCTTGAAAACAAGATCTGTGATCTCAATGGGATTTGCCTGGATAAATAATGGTAAATAAATAAATATAGAGCAAGATCATTTCCATTACATAGCCTTTTGTTTTGTACATAACAGCCACCCAACAATTCTATATCCATACCCGAATGCAAGAATTATAAAAAAAAATTACTATCATCATGATTAAATCCAGCTGAGCAGGGCACATAACTCTGCCCAGCATGCCACTGCTGCTTCCTGTCACTGTCACACTTTTGTAAAGATTTCATAGGCTTTTCTTCACAATGACAAACAGTGGGCACATGAACAAAGGCAGCAGTGACAGTTGAGGTAATGAGCATACAGCTGACAGCTTGGGAATGACATCCTGACGTGTCATCCTCGAACATTCGGAGAATTCCCCCCCTCCCTCCCACGTTACCAGTCCAAGTCCTCACCTACGGACTTCGRATGGCTCAGGAAATTCCACGGCTCTTCAATTTGTTGTCGGTGGGGCTCCCTGTTCTCTTATTGATGGGTTTCTAGGTCAGCAGGCCTTTGTGGCTTTCAGCAGGCCCCACAAAGACTCCCAGATGGGCCCTCTCAAGATGGGGCCTATTGTGGTTGTGTTTCTATGGGAGCCTTACAAATGGAACCTCCAGGAGTCATTAGGCTGTTGAGGCAGGGGGTATGAGGAGGAGGCGGGAGGTGGTGGGCTATAGCAGCAACAGGGAGTGGGGGGACGGTCATATCTTTGAGGTAGATCAGTCACTCTGGACAGTCAGAATTTTTCTCCCTTTTTGATTTATTTAATTTTGACTGTTTGATAAAGGGAGGGATGCCTCCGTTTTATTTGCCTCGAAACAAGTAAGTGGGAGTGCAAAAGTTCTGAATCATATCTGTTAGAGCTGCAGGGCAAAGACAGAAAAGATCTAGGTCAGAATGTTTCCCAGTTGTATGTGTTTAGTGTACAACTTATTTCTCATTTGCAGTTCAGTTGCAAATGGATGCAGTAGGTAAGATGGAAATATAATCTAAAAGAAATGCTAAAAACACTGCTACATTTAATTCAGTTTCTATTTTGTATATTTATATACTGTCGACTCACAAGAGTTATTTCAGGCTGCTTCTCAACAAAAATAAACAAATCCATATTAAAATCTTGACATAAAGACCGTTGTTTTAAACTGTTTCTTTTAATAACATACTGTTTACTTGTCCTCATTAAAGTTTTATTATTTATATAAAGGAGCAGTAGCAAATCACTCTCAAAATCTATAAATAAGTCAAACACAATTGTTATCAGTTGTTTTTTATTGTCTTCTAGTTATTTTTCATTTAACACTTAATTTAATTTTCCTTGGTTGAAAATACCAATTAAGCCAACTGCATTGGAAAGTAATCCATGTGGCATTTGATTTGTGAGGAACTTAAGAGTAATTTGCATGCTCTCATGAACTACTAACACATTCTTTCATTCATGTACAGCACATAAAACAATTAGCATAAATATATACATTCTAATTCTAAAGACATCATAACCTAAAGGAAAAAGGCCATATATGATAACTATATTGCAAGCTGGGCAGCTTTGTTCATCCTCTTGCAAAACAAGAGATGAGAGATCTTCAGACAGCGACCATACTGGACTGATCCCCCTCTGGATGACAAATCAGAATGGACARCTCAAGACACTTCAAAGACAGACAATGACCAGTCTGATAATTTTATGTCTGTGTCTCACAAAACAGGCCATCGCGGCTAAAGGGGCAGACTGTAGGAGACGACCGCCTGAAACAAACACAAACAAACACACACTCCAAACTCCCCTCCCCTGCCTCATCACTGCCGTTCCACCCACCCACACAACGAAACAGACACACATTGTGTGCACACGCACCACTTTTTTTCAGAGACAAACACAAGAGAGAGTGCACACACGCATTTCACCTTTACTGTGTCTCTCATTACCAGATGAAACCAACCGTACATTGATTCACAAAATGGAAGGGAAGAACGCATTAGTGTGTAATCACTGACTCCTGCATCGATTGGGGGGATGAATTAAAGGGCAAAGCAATATCATCAGTTGGTATAGGCCTTGGCTACACACAAATTACAGCTTCAAAGGGAAACATGACTACCGTAACCTTACTGTCCACCAGTGCATATAGCCTAGCCTACTATGAATGATAATAATAATAATAATAATACAGTAGAAGACATTTAGGCCTCTATAAAACCCACTTACTTTTTATGCAATTCAGAAAACTTCTATAATACATCTGCAGATGAGCATATTAATTAAGGATTGAACTAAAAGTGTGAACACCTGGGAATCTAACAAGGGACCTTCAGGTCATTAGTCTATTTGTCAGTCTGCTAGAGAGTAACAGATTAACCACACTAAGCCTGTGAACACACACAGAGTAGGTTCCTGAAAAGTTGCCAATTTCACTTTTAAACATGGAGTAGATGTTTAGTAATGTTTTCAATGCAACTTCCTAAAAGCAATAATTCCTAAAACATTATCACTGAGAGTAAGGCAAAAAGCTTCTAAAAGAAAATTAATATTTCAGGAAAGACAATGGAAAATAGGCTTTGACTGCTTTGGTTTAAAAAGGTACTGACATTTAAACTGAAGTACAGTGTCAAATGTAACTGGACAAACAACATAAATAATACAGTTTAATTCTTAACATTGAACATAGTTAATTGATAAAACTTTGCCATAAATCCATTTTCTGCAGAGACAGGAAACATGGATGTCCCAGATCAATAGGTCTCTTTTTGTGCAGCTTCCTTTAGGAATTAATTGTTTGTGAATCACCGTCATAAATTTAGTCTYTTTGGTGAGACAAAGATTGCTTTCTCTAAGATCAGGTGCCAACTCAACAAATCAAACATATAATTAGAGTTGCACCGATTGCAGTTTTCTGGCTGATCACTGATCTTTACGAAGCCTGACCTGCCAATTTCGCTTTTTTTTTTTTACAACTCACTATGTAAGGTGTTATAAGGTCACAGTACACATTCAATGTTCCAATTTTATTTTAATGAAAAACATTGAACAATACACTTGAAACAGGACAAAATTGTTTTAACTGGACAACAACCCTCTCTCACAGTAAAGCAAAAGGGGGACAGTAGCCAATTATGCAGCTCTATACATTATTACAGTGTTTTGATTTGCTTTTGCATTTAGTTCTGCAGGAATATTACAAAATGTATGTGTTAAGCTAAGCATTTGCCGATAGGCAATTATGACAGTTTTCAGAATTCATCTCACTGCTTTTGTCTTCTGTTACACCACCAGTATACACACTAAGAACCTTGTTGTTAGTGTGTTTAAGAGGGTTTTAAACTAACAAAAATCTGTTTTTATACTTCAGGGTTAAGGGTTTGAGCCTTGTAGTAAACCTGCAACATATATRTGTTTTTTTAAATTATATCTTCTCTTTCTGTTACCACTACCTTGTTCTTAATTTGCTCTTCAAAGATTTAAAGTATTTATTGTCATATGCACAGATGAAACATGTTTCCCTGAGCAATGAAATTCTTACTTTGCCGTCCACAGTGAATGCCAAGAGACAACCAGACGAAAAAAAAAGCACTTAAAGGATACTAAGAAAGTAATAAGGGATGAAGGATAAAAAGACCACACTTGAAACAACAACAAAAAAAGAGACCAAACTAATAACATCAAAAAATGGAACAACACTATCAGTATTTAGAGTGTAATAGACTGAGGTGTGCAACAGGTAACTTGTAAACAAACTTGAAGCTTACAGAATTGTATATTGAATATGATTTGGATTATTTCAACCTTTTTTGCCTCTTTCTAAATATAGTAGATAAGATACTGTGTAGCATCTGTACCTTCTGCTTCACTGCTCCCAATTTTATATTCTCTCCTTGGTTCCAGTTAAATCAAATAAAACTTGGAGATTATGCTATTGTCAAYAACAAATAAACTACACTTAAGTGGCTATGACAGACAGTCACATGAAAAGTTATGACAATGTACAATTGTTGCAGAAATGGYGTTTTTTTAACTCGTCAAAAAACATTGCTATAATTGTGGAAAACAGTGCAACCTAATATGACTCATGTTGTTGTTGTTGTTGAATTGACATGAAAATTTGAAACACATGGCTCACCAATAAGAAGCACTGTTCCAACTGCTAACCCACCACCTGTTAATGAAAAAACAAAACAAAAACAAATCAGCAGCATTAACTAAATATTACCTACAATTTCTCTTTACTTTATTAGAAGT